CTGCTGCTGTTGATTTACAGACGGCGATCGAACCGTAAGTTATTCTTTAACTTCTGGTCAGATTTTTTTTGTTTTACTTTTCATACACACAGCTTAAGTAGTGCTGTGCCAACATCTGAAAACACACAAAAAACCTAAAGATCTAGATTCCTAAATGTCCAACGGAGCTCCATGAATCTCTTTAAAACATCATGACTCACAAAGGAAATAAATGTCATTATTTAAAATCATATAAAACAATCATGAATTTAATTTTTTTAAATATATATAAAAATATCTGTATTACTGTGGTTATTCGCAGTAACAACGTAGCCATACACTTTAAACTAATTATCTAATTTAGAATACCGAATAAAAAAGTTTCAGAGTTCACAAGGGCTCCTGGATATGGCTTCTTAAAATAATAAACTGAAAAGTGTTTTGTACTGCACTTAGCAGCGACTTAGTGTTGAATCAGCTYGATAATAGAGCAATACTTCAGTGCTGACGTGGTGAGATTTCATCACCTCCTTCCTTTTCACAATAAAAGAGTTATAAGAAAAGGCTTGACAAACCTGATAAACGCTTCAGTAACCATTCAGGACTGGAAAGTACCATACAGTGTCACACGGTTTGAAGCAACGTGATGACTGAACCTTTTTTTTTCTTTAACTTTAATTAGTATTCTTAACATAGTTTACATTATGTGTACCAAAGGAAGTTGTCATAAAGATAAGTGGAATAGTAAATATTTGCAGTGAGCGTGTTCTCACTGTCGTGTTCTGTCTTTAAAATCCTTAACAGAGGTTCGGAGGCCTTCTTCCACGCCTTTCCTGGGTATGACCATCTTAGACAAATTATTACTATCACTCTTGCTCTTCTTATCTAACTGAATATGAAGAACTGATATTTGCTTAAAGATGGGAATGAGGGCTCTATCTCTTGCCAACTTTCCAGAAGCTGTTATAAAACTGCCTGCACTGAGACCTGCTGTCACATTTATSAGACATTTGATGATCTATTTGGGTTTTAGTCAGTAAACACATCAGCCAGATCTTAAGGCAGTACAAAGCTAAACTCACTGACCACAGGCAGGTTTCTGATCTCCTTCCAAAGCCTGTYCAAACATGTGAAAATTTCAGCCAGATCACATGTTTATCCCTGACAACTAACCTCTACTGAGCTAACAGGGTATCAAACGTCCTGTCCATAACAGGAAGTGAGATTAATGGACTACAGTGTTGTGGGTGGAAATTAATCATTACGTCCATATTGATTGAAATGCTTCCCACTGTGGATCTGTCTGCTCCTGTATGTAATAAACTGGTTTCATGTGGGGATGGTTTCACTTCCACTCACCAACACTAACAGAAGGTCATGATTTCTTTCAGATCCAGGACAACAGTGTCCCACAGATGAATTGGATTATGTGGGTCAGTACACCACCTTTACAGAAATGTAACAAATTCTATGAAACTACAATATATTTTTATATGTGTTTTTAATTATTTACTTTCCTGTTTCTGTCTACAGCTCCTTAGAAGTCCCCCTAAGTGGTCTGAGGTAATTATAAAACACTCAGAGGAGGAAACTAATAGAGGAAGAAGGTTGTTTTTTTTGTATATCTCAGTTATGAGACTAAGATTGTATCTAGCTCAGCACAGAATGATTCAAGAAAGTACTGTCTGGTATTTTGTAGTTTCCAAGTAAGAGTATTAATAACTAGGGGTGTAAGAAAATACTGATAATAACATCACAATGTTTCATTTCCTGATACTGAATCAGTTTTCAAAAGCACTGTCCATTTTAATTTAAGGCTTAATGGATATGCTGTATAATGTGAAATACAAATGCAGTTTTCACTGTTCTTCTAACTGCATAAAAATAAACTAAGTTTAATCAGATTTTATGCATAGCTGTACTGAGTTTTTACAAATTAAAATATTTTGGAGAGAAAATGGTAAATATATTTCCTTGATTACAGTATCACAATATATCATAATATACTCATGATATATTGCAATATATCACAATATATCACAATATATAGCAATATATCACAATACATTGAAGTACATCACAATGTATCACAATATATCATGGTATGTCAGTGTATCACAATATATCATGATATGTCAGTGTATCACAATATATCATGATATGTCANTATGTCAGTGTATCACAATATATCATGATATGTCAGTGTATCACAATATATCATGATATGTCAATGTATCACAATATATCATGATATGTCAGTGCATCACAATATATCATGATATGTCAGTGCATCACAATATATCATGATATGTCAGTGCATCACAATATATCATGATATGTCACAATATATAGCAATATTTAGTAATACATCAAAATACATTGCAGTATATTACAATATAGCAAAAATGTATTGCAATATGTAACAATATATCATGGTGTATCTCAATATACGTATCATGATATGTCGCGATATATCACATCATGACCCCTGGGTTGTGATATGTATCATATCACCAAATTATCACAGTCCTATTTATAAACTTTACYTACAATAATAATCGTAAAAACAGGTTCAGGAGAACAATGAAACTCATTTTCTTGGACTTTAATGTCAAAATAGTATTTTGACCTTTCTTCTCTACATTTTAACTTTGTTCTTGACAAAACTTAAATTTCAGAACTAAGAAAAAAATCTTCCTCCTCAGTTTTTTTCCTCTCTGAATGACTCTAACATGCAGTCATACAATGTGAACAATCTGTCACGTTTTGTTTTGATCAGTTGTCTGAAAGTTCTCTCACTCTCTTTGCAGAAGACTCAACCTGACACGTGGAAACAAAGAATTTACTGTCACCATCTAAAAAYCAACACTTCCTTATTCACTAACTGTCTCAGTATCACTTGTAACTGCATCCCACTGTGTATYATCAGGGAAAACCTTCATTACTGTGACAACATGAAACTGTGCTTTCTCATAAGTGAAAACTGTCTGAGTTGAGATAAGGACGACTCGGCTGTTTGCGTGGAGTCCAGAGTGTATGAAGCCAGAAGGAAGCCATATTTCAGGCCAGTCRTTTGAAATGACCACATCGTGAACGGGAACAGCAGGGCTCGGAGTCGAACCTGATCCTGCAGATTCTTTTAGTTGGCCCGGCCGATAACTGTAGCTGTTGGCAGCTTGACAGCAGTTTATTTGATTGTTTTTAAATTTTCTTATTATTATTGTCATGTTATGTAAGCTTTCAAAGGAAGTAACAAAATCCTATTATTTGGAGTTTCACAAAATAGTTTTTGCTTGTGTGYGTGCTGCAGTGGAAAAAAAAGCTCTGAATGATTTTGTGGATGACTTAAATTCTTTTATTTTTTTAGTGTCTGTTAAAGATTGAAAACTAATATTTACCTTTTCTAAAGAATATAAGCTTTAGTGCATCCCTGAACTATCTGGGTGTTGTAACGCTTAGAACACTCAGAAGAGATGTAATTAGATTTCATATTATTATTATTATTATTATTATTATTATTGCACCAGTACCAAAAAATAGGTCCAAAAACCAAAAGAATTTGTTTGATTATATAAAATGATTATGCATCAGAGAAATTTTGATAGGTCACTGAATAATGAAGGATATTTTTGGAAAATGATTGACTTATTTGTCAGAACATCTAATAGTAAATCTAAATAGATTACTTATTAGAGCCAAGCCCCTGGAGTTATTTAATAAAAGCTCACTGCGCCATACATTTTATATTCTTTTAGTGTGTGAATAACAATAAAACTTCTTTGATGCTATTGTGTAACCGCTGTGAAACTATCACATGATCACTGCTGCCTTTTGTTAGAAACTAATACACGGCGTCCAAAAGCCAAACACTTTCATCTTCCTGATTCTGCGGTGAGCAAAACTCGATTCAACCTTTCACACAAGAATGTCATCAACCCTCTTCTCATCAGATATGTCCACTTTGGGTCTTATCTGATAATGCTAGAAAAAATGTTCCAGAGCCTTCAGGATTAACATATAACAAAACTATTTTTAGGTAAGAAGAAAAAGTCCTGGTAGTTGTGTCTTACCTGTCGGGTAACAACTCCAGTCCTGAAACCTGTCTGTGCTCACCACATCAGGATTAAAGTACTTTAATGTGTCACTCAACACAGGAAAAACAACTCTAGTTTTATTTTTTAACTCAAATATTTTGGGTTTTTTATTTTAAAATGGTGTGAGGCATCAGAATAATTTTGAATACAATGTATTTAWCAAGAATTTATGTCCCAGTTTGTCCATCAGGTCAAAATGAACCTTTCAGCCCTGAGGTTTAAATCTWTTGTTTTTGCTCTTAAAATGTAAGTTTTGCTGTGATGTTTGAGTTTAAACTTCTGTAAATAACAAAAAGTTTTTATACAGGTCGTATTTTTTTTGTTTTGATATTTGTCTTTTTTTTTCTAACTCGTGTCCAGTGTGTGTGTTCAGCAAAAAACTAAAAAAAAGAAAGCAACATTTTTTTATTTCTCTACTCATTTAATGAATAGAAAATATGTTTGTGGCACGTGTTTTTAGTTTGTGTGGAACAGATTTTACTGTGGCTGCTTTCTGTATGTATTTCCTGCTGATGAGCTCACTGGGCCAATCATTCTTTTACTTTCTTTTTTTACAGCTTATTTTATCTTTTATCAAAATGTAAATACAACTTTCAAATTCCACAGGCATAAACACTTTCTACTGGTCTAGATGGATTTTTCTTACTGTATGTGTTTGATTGAACAGATTTTTTTACTTTATAATAAAATAATGTGTGAAATAAATCATTCTGAATCTGCATTTTTTCTTTTTCTTTTGACTTAAATCAGTTAATTTCTGTTCTTTATAGAGTCTGACAGTTTCTCTCACTAAATAAATATTAGGCAATAAAACATTCTTTTAAACAAATATATTTAAATTCTTTAAAACTTTAGTCTAAATTATGTAGCAGTAGGAGCAGAGCTTGGAGCCACTTTAATACAACTATTCAGAGTATCTTTATTTTTAATAGGTTGTAAACGTTTTACAAATTATTTATGATTTTATGCATAAATTCTAAATTAAAGGATGAAGTTTACATCTTAACCTTACAAGGTAAACTGACAAAATTGAGCAAAAAGGGAGTTTGCTAAAAGATTAAAAAGGTTAAATCTGTACATTTTACGTCCTGATGCATCTCAGTAATCCAGGTAAAAAATCAAAAAGAAAAAAAATTGTRTAGGTCTTCTGGACGGGTTCTTCTCTAATGAAACGTTTCGTCTCTCCTCCAAGAGACTTCTTCAGTCTGAGAGTTTCAGGCAAAATTCAGGCTTTTAAGCCCTGCCTCCATAAGACTGATACTCACATCACATGGCTATCGTTGACACCTAATTAACACCTATTGTTAACAGGGGGTGGAAGGATAACCCAGGAGCCAGGGAGAAAGAGAAATCACACACACGACAGGCCCTGGAGCAGTGTGGTTATCCTGACTGGGCTTTCCTGAAATCAGACAGGAAACACAGACAGGATTCCATGCAACCTTCAGGTGAAAATGAAGACCCCAAACCCAGACCCAAACCAGTGGTTATTCCGTATGTTGCGGGTGTTTCGGAGAAACTGAGACGTTTGTTTTCTAAACATGATGTCCCAGTAGCTTTCAAACCCCAAAACACATTACGGCAAAGGCTGGTTCACCCCAAAGATCCGGTGCCCCGGCACAAACAGAGCAATGTTGTATATGCTGTTAAGTGCCAGGAGGACTGCGACCAGTTATACATCGGGGAAACAAAGCAGCCACTGTTCAAAAGAATGTCCCAACACAGACGAGCTACATCTAATGGCCAGAACTCTGCAGTTTTCACTCATTTACAGGCCAGCGGTCACTCTTTCAGAGATGAGGATGTTCTCATTCTTGATAGAGAGGAACGTTGGTTTGAGAGAGGAGTAAAAGAAGCCATTTTTGTGAAGAAAGACCGTCCATCATTAAACAGAGGTGGAGGCCTCCGTTTTCAGTTGTCCCCCTCCTACAGCGCTGCAATTGCCAGTATCACTCCACCCCCTGTTAACAATAAGTGTTAATTAGGTGTCAACGAAAGCCATGTGAGTATCAGTCACATGGAGGCAGGGCTTAAAAGCCTGAATTTTGCCTGAAACTCTCAGACTGAAGAAGTCTCTTGGAGGAGAGACGAAATGTTTCATTAGAGAAGAACCCGTCCAGAAGACCTATACAATTTTTTTCTTTCTGTACATTTTACATTAACTGAMGCTTGTATTTCTATCATTTTTAGGATGTATTATCTTCCATTTATGTCTGAAGCCTGAATCTTCCACTAAAGCTGAACCAGAGCATGCCTCAGCCTCAGTTAAACCCAATCTTAATCCAAACACGATGTTCTGTTGTATCAGAACCAGGTTAATCTGCTTGAAAAGAACTCCAGCGTCATATCTTTACTGTCCTGAAATATAATCTATAGTCAGTTTTTTTCCCTAGCTCAGACAGCCTCTGCAGCTGCAGTGTTGTTACACGTTCAGCAGTAAACAGGGAGACAAACTTTAGTAATGTGATAAAGCTGTCATGTGAGCACGCGACGCTGGGAAAATCCTAATTACCCCTCAAACCCACGTGCACCTCCATCAACCTCAGTGTTATAAAACCATGCTGATCACAGGGGGAAAAAAATAAAATAAAAAACGTGATAACATCAAGCTGATGGGAAATTCCAGAAAGAAACAGGAAGTAAAGTAGGAGTAGCAGGAGAAAATCCCAAAAGGAATGTCCACCTCCTCTGGATTCTTTTAAAACTGAAAATGAAAGAAAACCCATTTTCATTCCAATAATTGTCAGGCTTGAGTTTTTCAGAGGAGGGGCTGCTCAGATGGTGTTTCTCTGTCAGGAAGTTAAAGCTGAAGTCATGGCTGTAGTGAAACACAACAGGAGGCTGTATTAGAAATAGAATTATACAGTATTTTAACTCATTTTAACTGATAAATTCCACATAATTTGGGCTTTTCTCTGAATTGCTGACATCATCAGCTGACCACTGGAATCCTGTCTGCTGACAGCCTGAAACCTCTCATTTCTCCTTTCATTGTCAGTCTTTTTTAAGTAAATACTTCTAGTTATTCATTCACCACAAAAATGTGAAGTATCAGCAAGTGCAATGGGGGTTTTGAAAGGAGTGATGTGAAACTTCTCCACAGTCCAACTGCTAATGAGAAGATTTTTATAATTTGATTCTGCTCACAGTCAAAGCCAGCATCATTATGTGTACCTTATAATTCACTACACTTTGTCAGTTTTTAATCAACACTTTTCTTTCTTTCTTTCTTTCTTTCTTTCTTTCTTTCTTTCTTTCTTTCTTTCTTTCTTTCTTTCTTTCTTTCTTTCTTTCTTTCTTTCTTTC